TCCGGAGCTTGGCAGCGTGGCTATGGATACGTACGAGCCCATTTCCCCCCCGCAGAGCTACCCCAGCATGGACAAGCAGGAGGCCATGCTGCAGCAGGCCCAGAGACGGGAGGCCGACAACCCAGAGCAGAGGTGCGGCGCCTGTAGGGCAGGCAGGGAGAGGACAGGGTAGAAACAAGCAAGAGGAAAGCGCTTCTCAGAACAGCACTGTTGTTTGTGTGCTCATTCTGCTTGTTGTGACTCTCCAAAAAAGTATCAAGACTTTATCGTATACATAATAAGAAACAGGTCTTGTCAGTAGTTTCACATAACCGGTAAAGGCCACCCTTGGTTTCTTTACAGTAAGAGAAATCTGTGTGAAATGTTAGTACTTCGTCTTTGGAATATTTCTCCCAGTAAAACCATTATTTCTAGCTGACACACAGTGGTGCTGCTTCTTTTTTATTTCGAGGTGACATGTTTTTGCATTCGTGCGGGCTGCAGTGCAAGCTGCTCATGCTTTAAGAAGAGACTCAGAGCCTTGAACCTTGCCCTTTCCTTCATTATAGGAGTGACTCTCGCTCTCCTGGCAGTGTAAGCTACCTGCCCTCTTTCTTTACTAAGCTGGAGAACACCTCCCCAATGGTGAAATCCAAGAAGCAGGAGATATTTCGTAAGTTGAACTCCTCTGGTGGCGGGGATTCTGACATGGGTAAGTGGGGCTTCTCTAATCCCTTCCGACTTTCACTAACATTTCCATAAGGAAACAGAAATTCTAATCAGTATTAAATGTTCTCAAGAGTGTCCGCCTGTGACCTTGGGTGTTTAACAAGATAAATTGTCTATGCAGCTCTCCTCTAATGTACAGGCTGTGCATCAATATGTGTGTAATGTGTGATTGTCAGTATACAATAACACAAGCATTTTTAAAAGGATCCCATTTCTCTTCAATATGATCTGATGTTTATTCTCCAGTTGTAGTGTCTAGTGTGCTTATTCCCCTTATCCTATGTCACCTTTGCTATGGTTTTCCCAGTGAAAGAACTGCAGATTCTGATAGTGATCATTTAATAGTGTGTACTCTGCCTTCCTTAAGAAGTGCTTAAATCGCTGATGGCTAACAAGCAGAGTTTCTGTTCTAGCACTGAGGGACGTTCCTCTTTCCAGTATTGAATTAGTCTGTAGGGAACATGGCAGTGCAAAAAAAACACAAATATTCAGGGGGTTTCTTTTAGCTATTCCTAGTTGGGATGAAAATTCAAGACTTCATATGTACTGTGTCTTATGAAAAGGTTTGCAAGACTATATAAGGCTCAAATTGTTTTGCCTCAGTTTAAATTGTTATCCAGACTATCTTTGGCCTCTGTAAATGAGCTTGTGGTCACACTAACAATGGTTGGTAAGGCTAAGTGGTTACATTGAAGGATGGCTTTCCACATTCATTTTAAAGCCATAGATGAAGCCTGTTTAATAAGAAACATCAGGAAACCAGTGATGTACTTAGCTACTCTATAATGCAGTTTAAAGCTGTCACATGTGCTGTACATGTGTTCAAAAAGGTAGACTCTTGTTTATGTAAAATTCCATTATTCTAGATTTGTATGGGATATGTCCCTGAAATGGAATATTATGTGCCATGACAGCCCTGTTGATGTTGGTTATATTGTTTGAATCTGCCATAAAACACACTTCCCTTAGGAAATAATGATAATGTTTGATTGAAATTGCCATACACCTGGCAGCCTGCTAATTGCTCCTGTCAAGCAGAAGTAAAACACATTCCTTTCATTTCAAGAGCTTTTTGTTCCAGCTTATAGCTTAAGTAGTATTTTCAGCATGTTTATTTTTGCCCCCTGATGAGTTTTTCTGTTTATTTTCCAGCAAGCGCACAGCCGGGGACAGAGATCTTTAACCTGCCTGCAGTCACCACTTCTGGTGAGAGAAGGAGCTGGAGTTGCAGTATTTAACCTGACACATTTCAACATCAATAGTCTGTTTTTGCCACTTTGTTTCATCCTTAAACATATAACCCATCACTGTACAGGCTGCATGTGTCTTCATTCCCAGAGTTTTAATTCCCATTTTATGAAATATTCTAACTGGCGAGGTTTATTCGGCGGTCTCCAGAAAGACTCCACTGCTGTCTTTCTCTTTCTGCCCTCTACGCCCTTCATTGCTCTTCTTGTTTTCCTGTTGTACCGAGCCTGCGATTGCTCCCCGTCACCCCCTGCTCTGCTCTCTCTCTCCCCTAGGTGGCGTCAGCTCCAGGAGTCACTCCTTTGCAGACCCGGCGAGCAATCTGGGTCTGGAGGACATCATCCGCAAAGCCCTGATGGGCAGCTTTGAAGACAAGCAGGAGGAGCACCAGGGAGCCAACTCCCAGGCCATTAGCATGGCCATGGGCAACATGACCACCACCATGACCACCATGAGCGATGCCCGGAGAGAGGAGGCCAACCCTTCCCCTGGCACAGGTCGGTACCCCACACTCTCTAACAGACATGAGTCCTCTCCTGTAGAGCAGTGGTCCTAAACCACTCCAACACAGTCACAGTGTGAAATAAAAACAAAAAACAGGTCTCCGCTTTTAGAGACAAAGATACACACACCACAACAGGAGATAGCGCTTGTGTGAAAACACAGATCTTCACAGATCAAAAATCGAGACTCTGCAAAATCGAGATCTCAAAAAAAAACAAAAAAACACTCCACACTCAGACCAAAATGTGTTTTTCCCCCCTTGGTAAACCTCTTTCTGGGTGTGAGGGGCAGAGTTATCATCTGACAGCGACCTGCTTGGGTTAACGGTGACGTGGGGCGTCACGGCGGACTGTTCTTCTCTCCCAGGCCATGCAGCGGGCAAGCAGAAGCTGGCTGGGAAGGCAAACAGCAGGAAGTCCAAGTCTCCCATTCCAGGGCAGGGCTACGCCGGCGCCGAGCGGCCCTCCTCGGTGTCTTCAGTCCACTCGGAGGGGGACTACCACAGACAGACTCCGGCCTGGGCCTGGGAGGACCGGCCCTCTTCCACAGGTCAGGGCCTCCCGAAACCCGGCTCACTGCTGCCCAGAGTCTGCGGAGATTGACACCGCAGCCCTACGAGACATAGCACAGTTCAGACTTTGGCGCTCCTGCTTTAAAGTTGTAAAACCCTATTTCTGCATGCCTTTCTGTATGTTTGTGACATGGGTGTTGAAATTGCGGAAGACCATGTCTCCAAAAGGGTGTTCAGGCTTGTCTCGGCAACAGTAAAACATTTAATTTATAATGCCCTTGGCCACGGCTTAGCAAGACCTGCCTGTAAGCAGTGTTATTTAGGTTGCAGTATCCCAGATTCACTCGGCACTGAGCACAGTGCAGGACCGCTGCGTAGAATTGTAGCTCCCGGCCCTGCGCTGATGAGACCTTGTGCTTTCCTGTTCCAGGATCCACGCAGTTCCCCTACAACCCCCTGACCATGCGCATGCTGAGCACCACCCCCCCGACCACCATCGCCTGCGGCCCCCCAGCCCTGCAGGCCCAGCCCGGCCTGCTCCCCCAGAGCCGCATGTGGGAGCGGGAGACCACGCCCATTCTGATGGAGCAGTACGAGACCTTGTCAGACAGCGACGACTGAACGCGGAGCGCCGCATGACTGACAGCAGGGCGCGCCGCCCCTGGAGGGTTTTTGGATCCGGGGAGGTTTTCCGGGGAACCCAGATGGTTTCGGAGCGGAGCAGAGCTGCAGCCCCTGGAAGCCGGCTGAGAGACAGAGGGGAGGCTGGTCGAGGGGCGTCTCTGGAAGGGCAGGGCGCAGACTGTTGTGGAATTTGAAAAAAAACTTTAATGTAAAGGAAAAGGACTATTTCTTGTTCAGTTTCAGTTTGTAAAGAAAAAAACTAATGTCTTTAAATCACGTATGTAAATAGAGAGTACTTTTTTGCAGTGTTTTTCCTCTTTTTTTGACTTTTGTTTTTATGTTGCTTTGGAAATTGATCCATTTTGTAAAGGGACCTGTATTTCACCAACATTTTCATGTCTGGGCAAAGGATAACCCCCTCCCCCACCCAGACTTGTTAAAACACTCTCATCAAGACGAACGCGGCTTTGCTTTTGTGTGGAAGCTGATGATGAAATACAGACCTCAGTGAGTTCCCGTCTCTTTGCCTCATGTGGATATAGCCAGGTTCTCCAGCATCCCCAAACTGGTAGAGTAATTCACATTTCAGCTGCAATGTAAATTTGAATGCAAGTTATTTTGCTACACTGTGGAAATAATGCATGGGTATTTTACTGTTTTTGTTTTCTAAAGAAATGCTTTTTTTGTTCTTTGAGGACTTACCTCATTGTTCTGCACACTGGTAATGAACTGTTTTCATCATGGACAAACATATAAGCTGAAAAATCCATTTTAATTTATTTTTTTAAACCCAAAATTATTGTATCTTCTAATTGAACCAATGTTTTTAAGAGCAATGCTCACAGTGGTTAAATGCACATTTAGAACTGAAGCTCTGGGAACGTTTCTTAATGGGTGATGGTTATCACTAGTGATTTGGTTTATCACTATTACATCTTCACACAAAATGTTCGTTTTTCCCACTTTTGATATTGTACAGACTAAGATCTCTTAAACCTTATTGCGTATTTGACAAAAAACATTGTTGCACTTTTGCATTGTAACTTTCTGATCAACATGTTACTTTTTTCAGTTGGGCGCACACCCAGAATGTTAGCTTTTGTGGCATTTTTCTTAAAAATTAATATTAAATTTCGTATGTGGAGGCTTGGGTGATACGGCTCTAGTCAGTTTTGGTTCCTGCAGATTTTTTTTTGTATTATACATGTTCGGCTGCAGTTCAGTTTTGTAAATGGTACAGTCATGTGCAGTAAGGTTGCTGCTTTGTCATAGTAACATTGTTGTACTGCACTTTCATGACATCCTGTTGATTTTTATAGTCGATTAAACAGAAGAGCAGCTAAGCTATCGTAGCAAGTGAAGTAGAATCATTTCTAATAATAAATCACTTAAGACTTTTGAATTAACCCAAAAAATACTTTCCCCAATTTTACTTTAAAAACCACTTAGGCTTCCTTGCCAAGGCTAAGTACTCCACATTTTGCAAAGAAAACTTTGTTTTTGATTTTAAACTCCCAGAGCTGATGTTCTGATTTTTAGTTTTTTTTTATTTTCAGTATCAGTGTGTTATCCTGTTTGTCAGTTGTTTACTTCGTTATTGACAAAACAACAACAAAAAGTTTACACAATGTGAATCAGTGGATCTTAGAAGAGTCAGCACAGTGATGCATTTCTCCATCTTTGTAACATTTTAAAGTGGTTACGTTTTCTGTTTAATTTGAGACTTGAAAAGCCCAAGCATCGCATTTTGCTGAAATGCAGTTTGTATGGCACAAATGTCTTTTTAGTAGTCAATGACAAAAGTTCAGACCAATCAATAAAGTGGATCAGTTCTCCACCTCTCTGAATTTTTTCAGCATTCATTTTTGTTCTCTAACACGTGGTTTTCCTGTGTTGCAGATTAGAAGGTGTTTAAAATGCGAGGCCTGCTAACTGTTAACTTATGAGTACAAGAAGCACAGCCTTTCTGTCCATTAAACCTTAAATAGTACCAAACCAGCTATCCTTTGCTGTACCTGCTATTCTGGAAATACTAGAATAATGTATGATGCATCTTTGAAAATGGCTAATGGAACAAATGTCACTGTCATTGTTTTTTCATTTTGTTGGGAGAGTTTTACAGTGGATAGAGAGAAAGTTGATCAAATGATTTGTCAGCAGGGATCAACAGACTAAAAGAGTCCAGACTGTGACAAGGATTCCGTAAGTAACAAACTTTGAGATTCCTCCTGACTGGGTGGACTTAAGTCCGTTAGGGTTTTCTTAGCCTGCAGCAGTGCATTGAAGCTTAAGAAGAGCAGGCCACCCGTGAGCTTGCGATGATCGCAGTCTTCCATACTTGCTGTCCTGCATGGTCTGATGGAGCTCACTGCAGGCTGGGACCCAGCGGCTCTAGCAGCTGTCAGAGAGATGTGGGGGCCTGTATCCGGAGATCTCTAACTGGGAGTGTTTAACATTGCAAGTAATTAAAAGTGTCTCGATTTGTTTTAATAACGGTTATTTCCACTGTTTTATGACATTTTGATTTGGATAGGAGCCAGGGATACATGAAGACGCCACCGTCTTGAATTCCCAAGAGGTCAGGGAGGCAGGTATACGTGGAAGACTAGTCCAAGCAACTCCGTAGCAGGAACAAGAAACCTCTGTTAAGAGAGCACAGAGCCCTCCTTTCAAGTTGTACAGGTGCGTAGGCCAAGAACTGATGATAAAAGGACAACTTACTAACCTCACGATTAAGTATGATATTAACTCTGCTGGATTTCATGTTACATCACTTCAGTTCAATTAATAATGAATAGTTACAATTAAGTTTAAAAGATGGAATTCTCAACTGGAAAACAAATATGTGATTTTTTAAAAAAGCCAGGACAGAGTACTGGAAACACAATATGTGAAATGAAGTGTTTGTTAGCGTGCAACGTGATTGAAGTCACGCAAATCATTCAACAACATTGATTTTGAATTGACATTGAAAGCCCGTTCGTCCAGCCAAGGTCTCAGAGGAGCTGGAGCCTATCTCACCAAGCAAATGGGTTCGAGGAATGATGCACCACACAGGGCCAATTTCCCCAGAAGCCAATTAACTCCTCCATTGTCAAAAGTAAATCTCTAATAGCAGCATGTGTTTTCTAAAGTTCATATAATGTGGACTGAGGTAGAATTAGATCTGAACATAAGCTAAATTTGTAAAATGTTCGAAAAACATCTTTTTGACTCACTTGGTTTTTTTTCGTACTGCATGTTACTGTTCCTTTTTTTTTTAACTGCACAGTCACAACGGTAATGATTGGCTGCCAAAAAGTGTATTACTCATGACCGCTTTAAGGTACGAGCATATAGCATATAAAATAGAAGATATGCGATGTCATCATCAAAGGCTGATGAAGCGGATTCAACACAGTAATATCAGAATATCTGTAAATAGACTTCTGCCTGACTTGAGGAAAGTGGTTTTGTTCCCATGTTAAAAGTTAAAACTTAGGTCTGTCTCCTTAGTTTGAACTGCTTTTGTCATTTGGTATGACCTGTTTAGAAATGTCACAGGAAATTTTTCGCCACAATCAGATACAGTATCAGATACTGGTTTCTAATCTACCTGCTCTGAGTGGAGCTGTGCAGCCGTGCCCAGCGTGGTGACCCATTAGCACTCATTTCCTGCTCGGCTCTGCGCAGTCGCTCGGTCTGAAATAAAGCCAGTGGTATGCTGAACATGGGCCTTGAAACTGTTACATGAGGCAGCATAAGAATGAAAGCTCACAAGTGAGATGAAAGCATTAGGCCTGTCTGTTTGCTATAAACATGTCCTGAGTGTCTGAAAATCAGATCATCTTATTACTGGAACACTTTAAAAAGACTGGAAACTGAACCTTTGACTTGTTTTGTTTGTTTAAAGGGTGCCCCAGCGAAAAGATTTTGACACGGTTTCATAACATTCGCGAGAGGTTTCACTCTCCTCCGTTCTTTTCTTCCCAGCGCTAGGAGCACACTTCTCGATACCGAGTCCTGGGCTCGTCTTCGAATCTCATTAAACTATTGATTAAAACTGACTCTTATTATCCTCCTCCTTCGATCCCTGCGTTGTATGTGTGTCTCTGAGGGAAAACACAGACATCCGAGATTCATCGCTGTTGGCTTGCTGCTTGAATAAGGAGCAGAAGTCATGACGTGAGAGCCTGCAGGAATGAGTATTAAAAATATTATGAAGCATATTTTCATATGTTTCATATTTTCTGAAATAATTCAGAAAATGTACAAAGGGAATTAAAACTTCAAATGCATCACTTATCTTGAAAAAAGTAATGGCGGAAACTAATACTTGCAACGTGGAGAGTGGAAAGGCAAGTTGTGATCAGGAAATGACCAAAATATGGTCTTTCCTTCGTCTTCTGTAGTGTGATAAACTGTGGTTTCTGCTCTGTCTGCAGTGACCTGAGCTCTGCTCTACATTTGTTTTAGCTTGGTGCACAAGCTTTCATCAGATTTTGTTGAGAGATGTTGCTGGATAACACTAAACCTTGCACTTTCTGGGTATTTGTGAACTGGGCTTTAGTACTTGCCACAGGTAAGCAGTTGGTCTTTTGAACTTTCAAAGCTTTTGTTTAAACTGCCGAGTACACGAGGGGAAGGAAAATGTACAGTATCTACATGCAAGAATCAGATGTGGAGACCATGATTGTCAAATGTTGTGTGGACAAAATGGGTTATAGGTTTAATTTTAATTGGTTAGCATCTGATGGTTTCTGTTGTTAAAACCATAGCCATTTTGGCCGGCATTAAAGTGTAATAAACGAAGAGTGAGTTTAGCTTCTGTGTCAACAAAGGGCTTGAAGCAGTTGCTTTGAACAGACGTTTGAGATGGCGCAGAACAGTGAACTGTGGTTTTTCTGTACGTCTTGCGAAAAGGGGTGTTTCTGCACAAAACATTTCATTGTTTTTTAAAATATAATTCTAAGAATAACGGCAAAATGCAAGTTGGGACATGATGATGATCTCTGTTCTATTAATAATAACAGGATTATGGGTATCCGGCATCTGTTTGTTTTCAGTTTATACTTAGCATGTTTTTGTTTTACCGGTATACAGGATACAGTTTTTTGGTTATTTGATAAGGTAGCTGCTGTGAATCAGATTTTTTTTGTGCGTTTTCACCTACAAATATGTGTTCTTGGATATTTTTTTTGAAAACCGCTGCGTATGGTTTATAGCTCACAGGCCTGAGAAACAGACGCCCTTGGGGTTTTTTCTTTTCTAAGCACAAACATGAATTTGGGGAGATCGCTAACAGCCTGGTGGTTATGGCATTATCCTGATCTGCACAGGAATGGCAAAACCATGCTCCTTTCTCCTGTCTCCCCATCTCGTCCTTCCAGCACAAGACGGCTGTGAAGAAGTGAAACCCCAGAAGGTCACCAAAGTTGAAGCCGCCTTGGATTCGGGAATTCTGGTTCCGTGCAACTTCAGCACCAGCTTGCTAAACCAGTCCAAGACCAAGGATTGGGAAGTAGTGTGGACCTTCAATAACTCCAATTCCGAGACCAGTCTGGTTCAAATCTTGTCGTCGGGACGCGAGCGCTTCTTGGAGAACAAGAAGGGCAGACTCAGGGTCTTCCCGGGCCTGTCAGAGAAGGGCAACTTCTCCATCCGCATCGAACAGCTCCAGCCGCATGATATGGGCACATATCACTGCAAGTTCTTAGCTGGTCGCAGTTGCTTGGAAATTCAGGGGATTGAGTTCAGCCCAGGTAAATACAACAGATCCATCAGAACTCCTTAGTGAGCTGAAAGACAAGCTAAGGGGAATTTTTGTGACCCAACTTCTCATCACCTTTTTAGTCCTGTTAGTTGAGGCAAAACACATGAGTCAAGAGTAGTCAATAAACAGGTGCTTTGCCATACAGATAATGCAGTTTTAAATAAATTTCATAGCCTATAAAATCCTTAATTCAGTTTCTTTTCAGTTGAAGTGTAGTCTTACCAAACATCAGGCGCAAGAGTTATCTTGGTATGAACAAAACAGTGTAACTAGGTGCAAGAAGTGTTGTGCTTTTCCTCCAGTGCTTCTTACCCTGCGTTTGAAGTCAGTCCGGTGTCAGTGGATGAAATGTCAGTCCAATATAGTTTTTCTAGGTTCTGGGAGCTCGGTTTGGGAGAGCTGGTACGTCATCGGCTCAGCAGGAGGACTGGGGGTCATCATACTCCTTCCCTTTTTCGTTTTGTGTCTGCGGCGAAGAGGTGAGCATTTCTTCCTCCTGATGTCTGTTCACTTTGAAATGACTTCTCTCTGAAAGGCTTAGAAGCAGAGTCCCAGTGGACTAAGACCACTGGAGCTGAAGCCTGCCTCATACTGGGGCCTCCCAGGCCTCCCTTTTCTGAAAGACAAACTAAGACAATACCTGAGATAGTGAAGGGGGACAGGATACATCAGTATCACAATCTCTTCTAGTCCTTTGTTTCCACCACATTTTGAAACATTTCCTTGGTTTCTGATGTGACCAGGGCTTTTAAGGGACATAGAGCCATTGGTACAGTAGACCTGAAGGCTAAATCACACCATACAGCCAATTTACCCCATGAGCTTGGGACGTCATGTACGTATGATTTAATATAGGTGTACCTCCTTCATGTAGGTGTGACTTTAGAATCCTGCCTGGAGTTTTCATGCTTTGAGCATGGCTCTGTGTTCAGCTGCCTAACTGGATTATTGTACTTTCATTCTCTGTTAAAGGTTGCAGACGCCTGGCTGACCCGTCAAAGTATGTACCAGTAATTTGTTGTACCTGCGCAGTTTATTTTCAGATCGCTTTCTTGTTGTTATATCAGTATTCTCCCGTAAGACCTACCCATGAAAAAGCAGTCTCTGCAGAAAACAGCCAAGCCGTTGTTGTGGTGTGTACCTTCAGAAGAATGGTTGGATTAGCAGGTCATCCTGTTCTTGTATTGTTGTTGCTGGTGGTGGTAGTTCTCTTGTTGTTAAGGTAAACCCAGGGCTTTAAAGGGCTTGAAGCTGTTGTTAACACTACAGTGTTGTACCTTTCTTTTACTTCAACTACAGACGTAAACTTCATATGTTTTCTTTTGATTCATATCCTAGGAATCTTGGTCACGGTAAGAACAGCAGAGCAGGTAATGGCTGTCTGTCTCAAACTCTGGAGAAATGTATCCTCGTATTGTGAAATTCACGAGTTATTAAATAAATAAAAAATTAATTATTAAATCATTAAGTGCTACTATGAGATGTCATGCAAGTTAAAATACTTAAAGCCCACGGTCTTTCCTCTGAGAGATTCAGGAGATTCAGGGCTCTGTATATTACATTGTGTAACGAAGCCTTTATGAAGGTGTTGGTAGCACAGCATCCAAAGGCAAAAATGAAAAAAGGAGTTACCGTTGGTTTTAAACTTTTAGGTCAGTCATTGGAGACTATTTATGGAAACATGAGCTTTCATAAAGGTAGGATCTACAGATTATTTTTGTTCTAAAGTAAATGTTTTATTTACAGTGCATTTAGAAGTACTGAGGGGACCTGTAACATGACAGTGGATATAATGTTTCTCAGCTCACAAGTGCTCTCATCACTGCATTTTTAAACCAGAGGGTGCAAAGTCCTTAGAAGAAATCTATAAAGTCCTTCTTTCGCTCAAGCCGCATGTTCCCAGCTCACAGTCCCAAAGTAGCTTGTGCAATAACCACAGAAAACAACACTTTCTTACCGTTGTTAAGATTTCTGTCTCCGCCTTGTGGTAGTCTCTTCCGAACGGCCTCAAATCAGTTTGGAAGCCCTTGAACCTCACAAGAATCAGTAGCATTACTCCTCTTTTATTTCAGTGACATTTAAAATGAGCAAAAAAGGAGAGTGAGGGCAAAGGTTTTCTATTTCTCTTTTCTGGGTTCTGTCTGAAAAGAGCCACATGCAAGGCAGTGTTTGTCCTTATGCAGTCTCTAAACTACATAGTTGCCTGCTTTTACTGCTCTCCGTTTTATATGTCTGAGTTCCAGTAGCTTCATTTACAAAACAGTGATTCTTAATCTCCTTTAATGTCTCTTTCATGGCTGCTCTTTTGCCTCTTGTTCCAGAAAACACCATCGATGTGACTATCTATGGTAAGTCTAAATGTACAGTATTTGTGTGTTTCTGTGATTGAGAAGTGTTCACTGGCATGCAAATATCTAGGTTGTCAGGGACTGGCTGAGTGCAATATAGTTTATTATGGGACTAAAATAGAACCTGAATTCCTTGTGTTTACTGTATATTATGTGAAAAAACATTGTTTTCACCAGTTTAATGCATTGCAGGAAATGCACAAGGCAAATAACTAAAAACACAGCAACGGAAGCTTTTACTGTTTTTGTTTTTAACTGCTTTACCAGTGAATTCCATTCTTTTCCCCATTATTAAGAAAACAGCCTTCATGACCCAGAACACAGGGAGCATGTGAGAAGAGATCCAGTCATTACTCAGAGTAAGGCACCAGTACTTCAGTTTTATATTTTAATTTCATAATCAATGGTGGAATTAGGTTTCCTTTTTACTGCATTATTATTACCACAATTCCGAGGTATACTGACAAGACTTGCAAGCATGGGACTATTTGAATATACAGTATATCATTTTAATGCATGTTAATAATATCCATAATAACATGCATGATTCTGTTTTTTGTTTTGTTGAGTGTACGAGAGGTCTCGAGAAGGATCAGAGATCAAAGAAGGTGTTTTCCATGGCCATCACCTGTGGCCTTTCCCGGCGGTCATTAATCAATTCCTTTCAACTGTCTTTAATTTTCCTACAGGCTTTGGCGGAGTAAAGAAAACAAAATCAACAAAACCCGATTATGGTATGATCAGTTCTTCTTCTCTGCATGTGAGCAGTTTTAGATCATTGAAATTCAGCGTGTGTGTTAACATCAATTAGAGCTTCGGTTGAGCAATGCTGTTGGGCTGGATTGAAAAGCAGCAGCTCTGCGAGTCTCCAGGCCCAGACCTGTGAACCCCCTATCTGTTGTAGGGAGTGGTGGGGTATACCCTGAGCCTGCAAATGAATATGATTGAATCCCTGGAGAGTTAGTCACTGGGTCGGCCCTAAAACATTGTTTCCTCCAAATCATATAGGAAGTGGAACACATACCTTAATGGAGAATGAGTGGGGGAGGGTGAAAATTCAGTGTGAATTAACCCCCTAAGAAAGGGGGCACATGCAGAGATGATATAAAGCCACTCATTATAGGTAGCTTAGTTAATTTAGAATGTCTTCATTCCTTAAAAAACGCTTCCTCACCTTGCTTTTCGTCTTTGTTTTTATTACAGTCAACCAACGAGAGCTCTCCGAAAGCATGGACACCCAGAGAGCAAGG